GCAAGCCTTGTGCTGTGTTGAACTGTTAAACTGTATTCTTATATATATGATTTCAGTAAACACTACAAATTAAAAACCATTTAAAATGCAACAAGATAGCCTTTAAGGTCTTATTTGCTATAAGATTCCTTTGGTGGAGAGTAGTGGAGGGATACAAAGGGGAGGCTGATGCCCTATTTTTTTGATTGCTGTGCTGATGACTTGAGTGTGTTCCTTTTGTGAAAATTCATCAAGCTGTACACACATGATGTTCATGCTTTTATGTGTGGATTTTTTTGCTTCAATTAAAAGTTTACTTAAAAAATAAGTAATAAGCTCCATCTCATTTCAGACGGTTTGGGTGCAAATTGTGCCCTTCACAGGAGATATTGGCAGGAGTCTAGTATTTTTGTGTGGGGGGGTGGGTGCGTGGGGCAGGGCTTCCTTCTCCAACCCTCCCCTCCCCTCCCCTCCTAGATCTCAGAATACTGCTGAGTCCCTCAAGTCAGTTGTGGGGCAGTGGTCATAGCACAGTGGTTACAGTGCCATCCATGTGTACCGAGGCTGGCGGATTCGAACCCAGCCCAGGCCAGCTAAACAATGACAACTGCAACAAAAAATAGCTGGGCATTATGGCAGGCGCCTGTAGTCTCCGCTACTTGGAAGGCTGAGGCAAGAGAATCACTTGAGCCCAAGCATTTGAGATTGCTGTGAGCTATGATGCCATAACACTCTACCAAGGGTGACAAAGTGAGACTCTGTCTTAAAAATAAAATAAAAAGAGCCAGCCCCGTTGTGACTGGTCCCCACAGCTGATCTCTCTCTGACTAGATCAGGTCTTGCCATTTTTATTGAGCTCTTCCAGGCTACCTGAACATTTACCCACAGTGCAGACCTCTGTGCAAAGGGACATCTGCTCAGCAAGGTGCTTGACCAGGACTGGGTCCTCACAGCCACAGGCACTGCCCCTGAAAGGACCTTTCTGTGGATATTCCTATCTTAATTCCACACCAACTCCTCTTGTCTTTTGCTCTGTTCTTATTATTGATGACAAACAGTATCAGTTCTCTTAAATTTGCCTATTTGGGGAATACAGCAGGTCCTCAAATAATGTCATTTTCTTCAACATCGTTTTGTCATAGCTGTAAAGAGAAAAAAAAATCGCTTGCTAGCCCGGGCCACTGCCTGTCTGCACACTCTCCCCATGTCTGTGTGGGTTTTCTCCACGTCTCCAGTTACCTCCTGCAGCCCAGAGCTGTGCATGTTAGGTGAAGTGGCATGTCTGCACGGTCCCTGTCTAGGTGAGTGGGGGTCTGAGCATGCCCTGTGAGGGGATGGCATCCTGTCCAGGGGGGGTTCCCTCCTGGCACCATGAGCTACAGGCATGAGCTCTGGCTACCTGCCCCCCACCTCCCTGAAGTAGAATAATTAGGTAACTAATTGTCTTTCATGTTTTTATCACTGCTTCTTAAATATATGTGTGGCATATGTTTATTTCAATGTTTAATATTAAAAGTGTTTAATGACTCAGCGGCTATAGCTCAAGCAACTAAGCCAGCCACATACACCAGAGCTGGCAGGTTTGAATCCAGCCCAGGCCTGTCAAACAACAATGACAACTACAATCAAAAAATGGCCGGGCATTGTGGCGGGCACCTGTGGTCCCAGCTATTTGGGAGGCTGAGGCAAGAGAATCGCTTAAGTCCAGGAGTTGGAGGTTGTTGTGAGCTGTGATGCCACGGCACTCTACCCAGGGTGACAGCTTGAGGCTCTGTCTCAAAAAATGTATATATACATATATTAAAAGTGTTTTGCTCCATGTTTAGAAGTTTGGTGATTTATGACCAGAAAGATGCCACAGTAACTTAACTCCTGTTTATATCCTTAGTCCAGGCATCTTCAAACTACGGCCTGCAGGCCACATGTGGCCCATCTAGGACATTTATCCAGCCTGCTGGGTGTTTTTGCTGCCGCTGCCTGTCCTGCTTAGCAGCCAACTCCTCCTGGGGCCCGCAGTCCGGCCCTCCAGCAATCTGAGGGATAGTGAACTGGCCCCCTGTTTAAAAAGTTTGAGGACCCCTGATGGTCAAATTGGTTTCGGTGTACATTTTTGCTTAAAGTCACAGTTTCCGAGAACCTTAATGAGGACTTACTGTATGCTTAAGGCAGTGTGTCCAGATAGCTATCCAGCTAGGTTTTCTCCCAATTTTGCAAAAACAGCAGAATTAGAAGATAGGAAATGATACCTGAATTCCACACTCCTCACTCCGTTGCCGTCCCTATTCATCTTTTCTGCTAAACCCCAGCCTCTTCCACCATAGACTCATGCAATGCTGCCCATGGTGCAAAACACCTTTCATTATGCAGAGCAATTTTCTCTTTCCCCAAACTTCCAAGCATTACATTTTAACTCTCCTCATGCATAATCAAAAACCCATTAATTGGGTGGCGCTGTGGTTCAGTGAGTAGGGCACTAGCCCCATATACCGAGGGTGACGGGTTCAAATTGGCCCCAGCCAAACTGCAACAAAAAAACAGCCAGGCGTTGTGGCAGGTGCCTGTACTCCCACCTACTCAGGAGGCTGAGGCAAGAGAATCGCCTAAGCCCAGGAATTGGAGGTTGCTGTGAGCTGTGACATCACAGCACTCTACTGAGGGCAATAAAGTGAGACTCTGTCTCTTGGAAAAAAAAAAAAAGACCCACTAATTGATTTTTTCTTTTTTTTCTTTTTGAGACAGAGCCTCAAACTGTCCCCCTAGGTAGAGTGCTGTGGCATCACAGCTCATAGTAACCTCCAACTCCTGGGCTCAAGCGAGTCTTCTCCCTCAGCCTCCCAAGTAGCTGGGACCACAGGTGCCCACCACAATGCCTAGCTATTTTTTGGTTGCAGCTGTTATTGTTGTTTGGTGGACCCAGGCTGGATTCGAACCTGCCACCTTAGGTGTATGTGGCTGGTGCCTTAGCCACTTGAGCCATGGCGCCGGGCCCCATTAATTTATTTTAACCAAATCCAAAGAGCAGCATCCCCCTTACAACTATCACTTCCACCTCCAGACACTGAACACTACCAGCCATCACCAAAGGATAGCTTCTCTGTCCTTACACCAGTCCAAGTCTCGGCAGGTGACCTGGCTATCTGTGAATAGGCGGAGTGTTCAGCTGATGGTAGGTGGGCAGAGGAGGTGATGGAATTGCACAGTGTGATTAAGGACTCACAGGAAAAATACTTCTCTGGCTTCCCTACTCAGAATAACTATTCTTTTCTGAACAGTGGGGTTGTGTTTATCTTTAGGTCACCATAAAGATCTTTAGGGTCATCTTATATCTGACCCTCTTCCCATCACCAGCTAGGAAGCTTAGAGCCAGGTTTGTGGGAACTCTGGTTAGGAATTGGAATCTTTTTTTTTTTTTTTTTTTTTTGGCTGGATGTCTCACTATGTCACCCTCAGTAGAGTGCTGTGGTGTCCCAGCTCACAGCAATCTCAATCTCTTGGGCTTAAGCAATTCTCTTGTCTCAGCCTCCCAAGTAGCTGGGACTATAGCCGCTGCCACAACACCCGGCTATTTTTTTTTTGTTGTTGTTGTTGTTGCAATTGTCATTGTTGGTTAGCTGGCCCAGGCCAGGCTCGAACCCACCAGCCTCGGTGCATATGGCTGTGCCATAACAACTGTGCTATAGACGCTGATCCAGGAAGTGGAATCTCGTAATATGCAAGGAACCTTGACCTCATGCCTGTCCCCAGTTTGCTTCCCTACCCTCTTCCCTTTGTCTCATGCATCTCTTAATTGTATTTTACTCTATGATGTTCATTTCCATAGGCCTTAAAATCCTTTTTCAAAACAAAAATACCATGTTTAAAACACGGTAAGCTTACACCTACATAATAGAATTATAGCTAAACATTGGAAGTCAATTTGGTAAAAAGATAACTGTATTGGGGTAGTAGGATTGTGGGTGATTTATTTTCCTTTTGAAATGTACATTAATGGCACGGCACCTATAGCTCAACCGGCTAAGGCGCCAGCCACGTACACCTAAGGTGGCGGGTTCGAATCCCCAGCCC